CTCGGGACCTTGCTGGCACTGAGAATAGCTTCAGTTCACTTTGGAGAGCTCTTGTCCTCACTTTGAGCATAGCTGCCTGGTTCCGGAGGGGAAGATGGTGCACTGCCGGCCTCCTGGAAAAGTTTGCTGCATTGGCTTCCCTGATGGGAACTCAGCCATCCTGATCATCGGAGGAGCTCGGGACCTCACTGTTGTCGAGGATGGCTGTGGTACCTTTGAGGGGAGCTCTGGTTCTTCTGAGCATCACTTCCTGGCTCCGGTGCAGATCCCTCAGCCTGCTAGCACAGATCCTTCTTCCTGCTGGTACAGACTTTGTATATTCCACCACTGACCTTTGGGCCTTCCCAGCAGATCTGTGAAACAGGTCTGCATGAGATGTTGTCATGGGCTCTGGGCCTCCAGTTGGATTCGTGGGAGGCATTGTTATGAGCTCTGGGTATTCAGTTCAACTCATGTAGGACATTGTTGTGGGATCCAGGTCCCCAGCTGGATTCCTTGGTCTTAGTGTGTGGACAGATTTCCTGCACTCTTTTGTATACTGTTCTTTGGGTGACTTATAAATAATCATATAAAGTATGTGTCCTGTATTATGTTGTTTCCCTTTCAAAATAAGCCCCAAATCAACACAGTGGTGGATTAACTAAGGGTCAATTTGTAACACCCAGCTGAACTGAATCAGCCTGGGTCTAGGTATGAAAGGCCCACCTGAGAATCATTGCCAACAGCATAAATCAAGAACTAGAGGGGAAGATGCTGTGCTGTTCATCCTCTTGAAGAAGCTTGTCATGATGGTTTTCCTGATATGAACCCAGCTGTTCTCATTGTCAGAGGAGCTCTAGTCCTTGCTGTCATTGATTATGACTGTGGTTCTCTCTGGGGAAGCCCTAGTCCTTACCTTGGGCATCACTTCTTGGCTCCAGGGCAGATCTCTCAGTCTGCTGGCATAGATCCTTTATCCCCCTGGTGCAGACTTTCTAGCTTCTGCCAATGACCTTTGGCCTTAGTGCAGATCCTTGATACAGACTTGCATGAGACATTGTTGTAGGCTCTAGACCTCCAGCTGGACTTGTGGAGGATATTGTCATTGAGTTAAGTCTTCAGCTGGACTTGTGCAGGATATTGCTGTGGGATCCAGGTCTTCAGCTGGATTCTTTGGGTCTCTACTGTGTGGACAGATCTCCTACATGTTTTTTTGCATTTGACTTTTTGGGTGAATATTATAAAATAATCCTCTATATGTCCTGTATTAAATCTTTTCCCCTGTAAGCCCTGAATGCAACACCACAGACAAATGGATAAAGAAAATATTATATATACATATATTTGAAATTTTCTTAGCCATAAAGAAGAATGCATTCATGCCATTTGTAGAAAAATGGGTGGACACTGAGACCATAGTATTAAGCAAAATACACAGAAAGTGAAATATCACATGGTTTCTTTTATATGAGAAGCACGAACTATAAGTAAAATAGAATAACATAGACAGATTTTTAGACAATGAGGAAGGGGCCCAGAGGAAAAAGAGAGGGGCTGGCCAGGGAGGGGGAAGGGAAATGAAATAATCAAGATATGTTGTAAATATATGGCAGTATCCCAAAAGGAATGTAAATATTATGTATTACAAACATATACCAATAAAAAGTATATAGAGAAAATCTAAAAATGCTGTGTCTTGTGATTCTTTTTAAAGCTGCTGTTCCAGTGACTATCCAGCCTAATATATGGAGGTAAATATTCCTTCAGAGGCAACAAAGGTACAAATAACTTCCAGTGTTGATAAGCTGTTATGTAAGTCCCATAAATCCACAATATTATGCACACTATTTGCTCAGATGTTCCATTGTTTACAGCCCATTAACAAAGTTACTGGGGAAACTGAATCTCTATGACCACAGATATCACACCATCTTGGGAGGGATAATCATTTTCTTTTTCTTTTCTTCTCCTTCTCCTTCTTTTCCTCCTCTTTCCTGCTTTTATTGCTTACAAATGTGAAGACTCAACTATGCAAATATGTTGTGTGAGTAATCAATACTTTGCTTTATCTCTTTTAAGAATCATATTTATTTAAACAACAGTAAGCAACTCTAATGGTAAACTAGTTGGATGGGTATGACTTTTAAAAGTTCATTGTACTTACTAACATTTTAACTGTAAAAATTAATGTGGAATTCCCATACATGCATATATCCTGCTTTACTGTGTCCACTCCCCTTCTTCTATCCCTTTCCACTCCCTCTTCCCCTTCCCCATGACCACTGTCTCAGCCCCTGCTATTTCTTCTTATAAAAAGCATTTTAGAACCCTGATCCCTAGATTTTTTTTTTTTTTTTTTTTGGTTTTTTGTTTGAGACAGGATTTTGCTATGTAGCCCAGGCTGGTCTCAAACTCACAGTGATCTTCCTACCTCAACCTCCTGAGTACTGGGATTACAGGTGTGCTCCACCACACCTTGCACTTTTTAAATCTATGAAAAGATCAAAATGAAAAGAATGAAAAATAAATAAAATTATTAAAGGTAACTTTTCATTACCTTTTGGAAAAGGGAAATTCTTTGGCATGGCATGTGTAAGCATTTATTTCATTTGCTTATGTGCCCCTAAAATGACCTAACTGGGTCAAAATTCTGTGAATTCCAGCAAATTCATGAGTGTAACATTGACCTTCTGCAGACATGGCACAAGCACTTAGTTTTTTTTTTTGTGCATATTAGTAACAAAGAAAAATGAGATTCAGTTTTATCTGCACTGTTTTGTTGGAGGATTTATACTTTCCCATTGCCACTTTGGGCTTTGTTAGCACTTTTGCAGGAACAGAATTAGCAGCTAACCTAGCTGATCGCCTCTTGGGTCCTTCCTTCACTGTCCCTTCAGCTGCGCTGACCTTTCTCTTTGGCATTTTGGCAGTGGACAGTGCTTGTCTGCTGCAGTGGGCTGAGAGCCTTCATGAAGTCGTCTGGTCACTGCTGCTCTTCCTGCCCTGGCCAAAGCTGTCTTATCTGGATAGTTTGTCCTACTGGCTTAGTTGGTGCTGTGATTCTTATCAACCTCCATGTCTGTCAGACTCACTACTTGGGCCCCATCTTCCACATCTCAGAATTAGTGCTCTAGTGATAATGATATATTTATCTACTAAAGGTCCATGTGATGCTGTTTGATGGGCAGTGGTGGCCTTTCTGGAAGCCCTTAGATTCTAATTCAATCTGCGGGCTTAACCCAGCTCTCAGAAGTCTCTCATTACTATTTCTTGTGGGCCCAGCCCAGCTCTCAGCCCAGCTCTCACCACTATAACTTGTGGGCCAGGCTGGCAGGGTAGGCTGAGCATGCTCCCCCTACAGGCAAATTGTCCAACTTCCTGGGAAGAAGGGCTGCCTGGAGTATGTGCTGCCTGTAGGATCTGGGGGTATGGAGGCAATGAGATCTGTGTTGCAACAATGTGTGTTTGGGTCTTCTAAGGAAACATGTGCTGTGTCTCTGTTCTATATATTTCACATTTAAAAATCTATTAACTTTCTATCACCTTGTTTTGAAATTCTGTATCATTTTTATTGTTTTGGTGTTGTTTTGTTTTTGTCTGGGTTGTCATTACTTTGTTTTCTTTTTAAAATAGAAAACTATTATTAATTATACAAATATTAATAGGAGGAAAAAAGGGAAAACAACTTTAAGTGTGGTCCCACATAAGTTGTTTAATGTTTGAGATCTTACCTTCAGGTTGTATTTCTCCCCCGACATGTGCTTGTTTTTCAAATAAGGAGTGTGTGTAAGCAGTCTTGTACATTATGCTTTCTGTACTTTACACCTATATCAATTAGTGGTGAAGCTGAAAGTCTGGGCTTGTGGGCCTGGGAGGCAGTGGAGAATATAAAAGTGCTGGGTCCCTGGTCTGGGGCCAGAAGTGGAATCAGTTTCTCATGGTGCAGTAATCAGGGGCCATGCCTATCTTTTTAGGCACCCTAGGGACAGTGGTGAGATCTACGTGTAGCTCCTTTAATTGCAGGCCCCATAGAATTCATGTGGTTCCTCTTGTATTAAGGGATGTGGCTATGAGTATATTGGTCTGAGCCAGCTCAGTTACTGGTAGCCATAGGATTAATGGGATTGCAGGTTACCCATAGGTGGACAATGTGGAGAACTTGACCCAACTCAGATATTCCTCTTCTGCAAGACATGGAGACATTATGTCTTCTTTGAGCAAGATGATGGTGGAATTTAGGTGGTTCTGATATATTTCTCAGGCCAGCCTTACACTGATGTCCTTGAGGATTCCTCTGCTGAGCTGGAATAGCTCTGTCTTCTGTACAGCTGCAGAAAGAGCTGGCCCCCTCCTGTTGTGACTGCTATAGTCACAGACTCATCCTGAGGATTACTGGGGGAAGCTGCTTCTCTGGATGCAGACCCAATATTGAGGGGGAGGATGATAATAGGGCAGGTGTCAAGAACACAAGGAATCAATAGACAAGGAATCCAGGTCATAGGTTGGGGACTGTCTCTGAGGCAATCATAGGAAGTTACTGTCTTGCATGGATGAATTCTAATAGCTGGGACCTGGGGTTTTGTGAAAGGAGGAGGAACAGGAAAGGAGAAAGAAGAAGAGAAGGTAATGAAGGAAGAAAATAATTAATGCCAACATTAATCTGGTTGTGAAGCACTCTAGTTCAGACCTGAGTATTTTAGATAATCTTTAATAATCCACAGCATCACATCAAACTCAAGGGAGTTGGTTGTCAGATAATTAACATGGCAGGAAAGAAGCCCAGTTCAATTTTTCATTGACAGTAGAGGGGGATGTGTGTGGGGGAGGAGAACACTTCTCAGCAATGAAAACAGAGTGGAGTCACACGTGCTGGATGCTGCATCTTTATTGAGATTCATTGGGAGCAATCATCAGAGGCTTTTGTGCCTGCTGGAGATTCTCTGGGCTCCTGTAGAAACCAGGAACTACCTAGAGGAAGCTCTGGTTTGGGGACTGTCCCTCAGGTTGGCAGGGCCTCTCAGCTATTTGTAATTTAAGACTTTATTAATCCAGCGCACATATGGAGATATGTGAGTGAAGATGGCAGGGGGTTGTGCATTGAAACGTCCATAAGACACAATTCCTTGGGCCACCCCAGCACACAGAAGGGGTCCGCCAGAGTCACCCTGTGGATTAGAGAGAGCAGATCATGAGCAGAGATTGTCCTCCCTCTACTACTCTCTCCTCACTCTGTTCAATCAACCTAGCTAGCCCCAGGGTATCCAGAGCTGGGTCGGGAGTCCTGGCTCTACATGGTGTCATCAGGTAAGGGTTTACTGCCTGCATGCTGTCTCTGGTCTGGACTCACTACTCCAGATCCTGTTCCCTCGATCCTCTCTATTTCTCTTCTGGAGCCCTGTGTGGAAGACTGGGTAGATAGGATGGAGGCAGGACCTGGGTATAGGAAGATGGGACCAGGAGAGTGGATTCCCGTTTCTGGAGAGGGAAGAACCCATGAACAGACACAAGTCACTCTACTAGGCAACTTTTCATTCTCCCCTCTTCCGAAGATATTATTTTCCTGTAAAAATAAGTATGTAGTCACCTTGTATGCCGATCTTATCTTCCTGGGATTGCCCACACAGAGTTGCAGGTCATTATTATAATCTTGAAAGTGGTTACAAGCATTTTCATCCATGATTCTCAGCTTCACCTCTCTCAGAATATCTGAGGTTGGCTCCATGACTCCTGTTCTCCCCCAGCCAGCTGCCCGACACATTCTCCCAGGTTGAATAAAAGTAGATGCAGTAGGCAGGGCAACTGTGTTCACAGCATATGTCAGCGTGACTCTGCTCTGCAGCTGTGTGAGGAACAGAGGAGATGGGTCATTGTCCAAGAAATCTGGGTGGCATTGGGCAGTGTGGTGAAGTAGAGATCTCCTGGGACAGCGTCAAGAGTTTCTCCCAAAGGGGTGGTGATGACATGGAGTGGGAAAGTGGGTTACAAGGAAATGGGTTGAAAGAGAGAATGAGAATGCACAGGTCAGGAGAAAGGTTAAGGAAAGGGCAATTGAGAAGCACAAAAAAGATAATGGCACCTTCAGTAACATGATGTCATTGAGACTGGTATAAGGATTGTACTTTGGGTGAACAATTTGTTTAGTGACTTTCAGCTTCTGCCATGTGGGTTCTTTCTGTGTTAAGTCATGAGCTCCAAGAGTGACAATAATTTTCCTGTTAAGACACAAAAGAGAGACACGAAAAAAAGCCCATCTTTTGAGAAGAGCTCATTCTGAACAGAGCGACCCCACTTCCAGTTCACACTTGAGGGGCTCAGATCTTCTAAGGGCAGAGTTACTATGGACAACAGAATTGAGGAGGGGCAGGGAGCTGGCAGACACAAGACCAGGATTGCACTGGTGGCCTGAGTGGTGGTGACTTTCTTGATCTGGGCTGCCCTGTATAAAGAAAGTCCTTTTCTCTGGAGATGGGGGCGAGAAGTGAAATGGCCATATCCTCCCAGTATGTACTGCTGACTTCCTGGAGACAAGCATGGCAGGGGAACCTCTCTTCAGCCCACTTCAGTATTTTCTGTAACTCTGGTTTCTATGAATCCTCACATGAAGAGAGAATAAATCAAAAGTTTCTTACCATCCTTTGCAGTGAGCAGCAGTCAGCACAAATTGTTCACTTATGAGAAACCCACCGCAACTGGAAGCATGATCTCTGCTAGTGATTTCCAGATAGGCCATGTAGGGTCGGGAGTGAGGCTTTGCCTTAACACCACCAATAATCTCTTCTGGAACAGAGAATCCCAGACCCCCAGTCACAGGCTAATAGAACCTTCCAGCAAAGCACTGACAGAGGAAGATGTGATTGGTTAACCTGAGGAACTGCACCTGAGCCTCATCTTTAACCTTTCGTATTGCAGCCCCTTTATGCCTCCTCCTGCATTTCTCCCATTTCACTCTATAAATCCTCAGAAAACTAAGGTCAGTCTTCTGAGTTGGCATTTCATTTAGGCATTTCTTCATGTCTTCATCTGAATCTTCTCAACACAAGGGCAAGGCCAGAGATGGGTTGTGAATCAGAATTGTGGGTATTTTGAGGGAAGCAGGTGAAGGCAATCAGTTTTCTTATTCTTTGTCTACCCAAGAATTCTTGCCTGGGAAACTGCCTTCAACTGCAGGAGAGGCTGTGACCCTGCCTGTTAAGAGATTTCTCTTGGGACACTTGGAAAGGGATCCTGTAGCCTTCTTTTAGGCTTTTCCTTTATGCAGGCCAACACATTTGGGATGAGATCTGGAGACCCAAAGGACAGGACATAAAAACAAGACTCACCAGCTCCGTCTTTGGGAGGCAAGAGAAGGGTCACCAAGAGGAACAGGGCCTGCATTTTCCCTGTGATGCTGCCCATGGTGAGCTTCTTATGCCACCACTCTCTGATCCCTGCCTTTATAGTCCCAGAAGTAGAAGAAAGGGCAGGGCTGGGAACCCCAGAACCTGCCTAGGCAAGCTTTCACTCGGCGAGTTTATCATCCTTATCAGAAACTCTCATTTCTACTCTCTGCTCTGCTGCTAAAGCTGTGGTCAGACCCCAAGAGTGCTGGCTCCTGGGACTAGCATTCACTTTTCTTATTCAAACTGCTCTCTAGAGGCAGGATAGTAACACAGCTCAGGGGATTCTAGAACAGGGATCAATCAACTTCTTTTTGTAAGTGGCTAAGCAATATTTTCAGCTATGAGGGCTATACTGCCTTTGTGGCAACTATTCTTCTCTGCAATTATAGAACAAAAGCAGCCACAGACATTATGTGAACAAATGGGTGTGATTGTGTTTCAATAAAACTTTATTTACAAAAAGAGGTGGTGGGCTTATTTGGCCTGGAGCCATAGTTTGTGTTGGCAAAAGTGGAAAACCAGTCCATCATTGCATCCAAATAATGAGTAGAATAATAGAAGGTGGAAATGAGAGAAGGAACAAAGAAGGAAAATTTATTGAATACTCACAATATGTTTTCTCTAATAGGACCTTCCATGCATATTTCATTTATCATCAGTAACAGTCCTTTTGAGTATCAGTGCACATACTCAATAGAAGCTCAGAATATTACATAAACACAAAATCCAAAATTTAGTTTGTCAGTATTTGAAAGTCTTATTCATTGTCTTCTTTTAATCTGAGTAGTAAGGGAACTGGGATGAAGTCAGTCCAATGAACAGCAGAAATGGAATGTAGAAAGCTTTCCATGTATTTACGAGAGAATCTATCCATGGAGAGTCATACTGGATCCAATAATAAGATATCTGCATCTGTCTTTATTTGAGGTTTTGTTCAATATTTCATGTGTCAGTGGGAGGCAAAAGCGGTGTTCACAAAGAAACAAAAGCACATCATTGTTTAAGACATTCACTCCTGTTGTAAAGTTGTTAAAATGTGACATGTTGTGTATCTTGTAGTCAATGACATATGCTTTTCATGTGTGTATTTTGTCTCATTCAACTCTACATAAACTTTTACATGTATTATTATTTCAAATTTAAACATGAGGGAATTGATGTTCAGAGAATTTGAATCATTTTATAAAACTGCATAACATTTAAATATCTGAAGCAGGCATTGGTCCCATTTCTGGTTGACTCTAGTCCCATGATCTTTCCTTACATCATCTTGCTTTCCTTGACTGCTGAAACAAAACAAAAGAAGCAATGGTAATAATAAGGATGTAGAGGAGATTTCTTTGCCAGTTATAATTTCATAAACTGCACTCTATAGAGTAAATCCTGTATTTCGCACCATTCTGAACTCTCAATACTAGACACCCTGGCACTGGAAGCGGGTTATGAATTTGGATGTATTAAAAGCTACTAATAACAATGTTTCAAGAGGAAGGGTATCAGTTTTAGATTATAAAGGATCATTTGTGGCATTCAGTAGCAAATCTGTCACTTAAATTGTTACCTGTAGATAGCTGTAATCCAGGGCAAGGTTTTGGGTGACTAAATATTTGCTGTTCCCATCACATTAATGGAGCTAAATAGTATAAGGGGTTTGGGTGATTTTTTCAACATGCACTCAGGAACTTAGACAGAGAAGAAAATGAATTTTGGGCATTTAATTGCAAATTTATAATATAAGTAAGAGTTCAGGAATCTATGCCTGTCAAAAAAGAAATACTTGTTCACAGAACTTCAGATGAGATATTCCTGAAAACCAAACTGTAGTTTTGTCCTTTGGGTGATTTGTAACAGATTTTCTTTTCTTTTCTTTTCTTTTGTTTTGTTTTGTTTTGTTTTGTTTTGTTTTCTTTCTTTCTTTCTTTCTTTCTTTCTTTCTTTCTTTCTTTCTTTCTTTCTTTTTTTCCCCTGGTATCAGGAATTGAACTCATGACATTGAGCTTGCCAGGCAGGCGCTGTGCCACTGAGCTAAATCCCCAGCCCCAACAGATTTTGTATGTCTAAACTGGCAGAGTCTCCTAGAATTAAGGAATTATTGGCAAAGTTAAATCCTAAAAATTGGGATGGGAGTATATTTGGGTAGATTCAGGTGAAACTGGGACCTGAAGCCCTGTAGCTCCTCCAGTCTACCCTTGCCAGTAAAGGAAACCATTTTCCTTGGTGTGAAGAGTTTAGTCTTAACTGAAGAATCTGTAGAGGGATCCTGTAAGGTAGTGGCTTTTCAGGGAACTGTTGATTCTCCTCAGATTATAGTATGTATCCCAACTGTCTATTTACTTTAGCATGTATAGACTTAAATCCCAACAAGTCCCAGATATGGGTGACCTATAAGGAATTCATATACATACCAAAACAACTGCAAGATTTTTGTTACTTTTTATCAACAGAAACACAAATAAGACTGGATCCAAGGGTTTGGAGTAGGTTGGAAGGAATCAAGTGAGGGACAAGGCTGACACTGTTGACCAGATGTCCTGTACTAAGCAGGGGTTCTCTGGTCAGTGTGTCACCTGCATCATGTTGAAGTGGCTCTAACAATATACCCATTTGGTTAGAATTATAGACCCCAAGTGGCCCATGGCATTGTGGTGCCAGACTTTCTTTGGTATACTGTAGAGAAACCTACTGAAAGGCTTAGGGAGATCAGATTTAAGGTGTACTTATTGTGTAAGACTGGCTTACTCACTTCTGAGTATGTGCTAGGCGGGTGCATTCGGGGGTCCTTTGGTGAAAGACATTCCCTTCACCAAAGCTGAGGAATTGCACTGGGGCAGGAGCACAGCATCTGTGAAGTGCTTTACAGTGGTGATTTGCTGCAGGTCTGGGGTGACTGGGAACTGCTGCTACTGATGAGGGCTCTCTGAGTTCCAATATTATGGTGAGATCTGGGGTGGGTTGGGGTTGCACTGCAGAGAAATGAGGATTTAAGAGACAAAGTTAGTGAAATGAATGTCAGAGTTGAGACAGAAATGAAAATAACGCTACATGTAGAGGTCTTTGACACTGGTCAATTGATCATGCTGTTCTCTAGAACTGATATAGATGGGCAGTCTGCTCATCTATAAGGAGACATATTCTAGATGTGGTGGTGAGAGGTCTTGATTATCACAAGGCACCTCAGCTAGTTACTAGACTTAAACCTGATCATTGGTTTGGAGCTCCTTGAATGACAGGGATTCAGTGTCCTTGATGGAAGTGCTTAGAACATGGCCCAAAGTTTGTCTATATATGTTTCTTCTTGCCTTCCCCAAAACCCCATGTGGTTATCTGACTCATAGTCATATTGACGATAAATTAGAGAAAAAAATTAGAAAACTAATTTTTTTCCCTGACTACTGGGTACTGGTTCTGAACTGATACTGATTAGGGGTGACCCAAAGTGCTTCTGTAAGTCTCCAGTCAGGGCAGTGTGTTACAGAGACAGTCAACACAGTTTTGGCCCATCTCATACTGGGCCTAATGGGCCCCAAATCAATCTTTGATTATTTCTTCAGTTTCAGATCACAATGAGAGTAGATGCATTCTGCATAATGACTCATATAGTAAAGGCTGTGATGGTAGAAAATGGTTAATGGAAGCCATCAGTACTGTCTCTTACTACAAAAATAGTAAACTTAGAGTAATATAATATTAATGGAAGACACTCAGTGTTAATTACAGCCAAAAAATTAACAAGTGATGCAAGAGCAATGGTTCAGCTCATGCATTTGGTTTGTGTAGAAGATACTGGATCTTGGAGAATTACAGTGGGTTATTATAAATTTACTCATGTAGTGACTCCAGCTGTAGCTGTTCTTGGCATAGTTTTATTGCTGGGCCACATGAAGGCAGCACTTGCAGCTGTGGATCTGGGGAAGTGTGGAGAAACACTCAGATTGCTTCCAAGTTCAGGGGTGTCTAAAGACATCTGAGGATGTGACTCCATTTGTCTAGTGCAGGTGCACAGTGGGATACAGTTATGTAACCGTGACTTAGCACAGGTAAGCATGCGTGTGCTGGTGATGGCCCTATGTAAGAATTAAATATGAGATAACAACCTGTATAAGAATTATACAATAAAGATGCAGGCAGCTCTGACCCTTGTACTCTTAGGCTCTTGTGCTTTGCTCTACCCTATGCTGCCTGCTGTTGATGCTGATGTCTTGAAAATGTGCATACTTTAACCTTAGAACCTCACCCTTGAAAATTTCACTTGGGTCCCCTGACTGGGCTGCCAGAAAGGCAGCAGTGTGCTTCCATTTGGGAAACTTAGTCATCTAGGCACTTCACAAAAAATGATGCTGTCCCATGACATTCATTATTTTTTGCTGAGTAGATTTGGAGTGCAAGAGGTAGCAATTACTTTAGATACCTTATTAATGTATGCATACCAGGGAATGTGAAATAAATTTCACAGAATTCATGGTCTTCCTTACCAAAGAAATATTTAAGGACTTAGTGAACTTGGACATGCCAAGATATCTCTCTTAAGTAATGGACAGGTTATTGCATTTTGTTTTTTCACCCCTACAGAAGAGGTAAAACCCACATTGGGTTTTTTGGATGGCCAGTTGATTGAGAAGGACTATCAACAACTGGTTTATAGATGGTTCCCCAAGATATACTATTATTTGAAAGTTGGTGGTTGTATTAATACGGCCCAAATCCAAGGTTTTCCTAGAGGGCAGTGGTGCACAGAAATTCAAATTGAAAATAATAATAATGTTCCTAAATCTTTAATAATAACAATAATAATCCTAAGTCTTAAGAAAAGACTTCTTTTTTCTATAGCCATGATAACAAGTAGCAAACAAAATAATTCTTAACGAAAGTTTAAGCATTTAAGATAAATGTAGAGTCATATGGAGCTGTAAAAAATGATACAGAGAGATCTTGAGTGCACTGAATCCTATTTCCTCCAGCGATGACATCTTGCAGAACTATAGTATAATATAGTAT